CCCCGCCTCGCCTCGCCCGCCACGTCCGAACACCTCGCTCACTTTCTTTTCTTTCGTCCGAACAGTGAGGTGAACAGTACAGTGACAGCATGCTGGCCAGTGCCCTGGCCTCTCCCCCCCCCCTCTTCTCTATCTCCCCCTCTCCTCTCCCCCTCTCTCCCTATCACACTATAGTGAGGACATCTCACGCTCGCACTTTTCTCCCCAAAAGTGTGCGAATGGTCCCAGGCGTTATGGAGGCTGGGTGCAGCGGCCCGGCCGGTGGCAGGGATACTCGGTAAAAACAAAACATAAACCAAAAAACAAAAAACAACGAAGCGCACAAAACACAGCCAAGCTGCACACATTCTCATGGCGCTGTTTTTGAGGAAGGCCATCTGAGCAGCGCTGCCGGTGCGCCATGGGGTCCCATGGGCTGCCCTGGGCTCCCCCCTGGGCCCCACTGTGCCCACTGACTCGAGTGTGTAGTCTTGAAGGAAAATGGAAAGTCAAGGCGGTTGCGCTCCTGGGCGTGGCGGAGTGCGCCCGGGCCCGGGGTTCCCATCCCCGCAGTCCCTGTAGTCCCGTCCAGAGATAAGCCGCGGGGACGTGTTACTGCACGCTTAAAAGAGCACGGTGAGAAATTTGCGATTTTTTTTTGTTATTAATATTTTAAAAATATAGTGTAACTTTATGACGCCTCAAACTTGCCCGTCGATGAATTCCAAGTCGATTCATTCTGCTTGTAATTTTACTATTTTCAATTATTGTAATTCTATGACACGCGTCAAGGAAAATTTTCCTGTAGAAACCTACTGTTATTTTTCGCAGTGGGAAACCAAACAACTATACAGCCAAATAATGTATGACGAATAGTAGTACGCCTGTTTAAAACTTCGAGGGTCTTTTATACTACATTTTTAAAACAACTTAAGTATTTTTTTAAAGTTAAATTTTTATGTTTCGTGTCCCGATTAACTTTTCTTGCGGTGTAAAGACCATAGCGTTGCGCAAAACACGATACCCATTTTCAACAGGGCTGCTGCGTCTCGCCCCGGTCGGACTCCCCGCGGGTTTGCATGCTGGCAGCTCTGTCTCTGTCCGAGTGGTCTCGGGAGGCTTGTCTCGTCGGACGTGGAGGGGGGAGAGGCTGCAGCGGGCGATGGGTAGGCAATCCAGTGTGGCACTCGGGTGTTGTGTGGTTGCCTACCCAGTGCACCGTAGGTGGTTACCGGTTAGCCGCCAAATCCAGCCTGTGAAAAAATTCAAGTCAAATTGCGAATCAAAAACGCGGTATTTATAGCAGTTCTTTCTAGGCTGCAAATAATTATTTTCGCATATAGCCTCTCTAAAAATGATTCAATCATTAAGGCGCAAGTTGAAGGGCCAGGAAAAGTGGGGGCAGACTAAAACATTTTCTATGACTATAACAGTTCTGAAATAAAAGTAGTGTTGTTTGGCGAGTGCAAATTTCATTCTGTACGATCCTGCATGTCATGCGTTGGTTATTATGGTGCTCATTATACTGCCCGTTGTTAAAATGCAACGCCCAAGTTTAGAACAACGGAGCCGTAAATCTGCGGGGCGTTTATTGGTCGCGTTTGATGATGGGGTGCAGGTCCTTGTCTGGGGCAATCAAAGAGTGTGACACAATGCAGCGCCTTTGAAGTGTGAACAAATCGAGCTTTATTCGCGGCTTTACTTCTCTTTGGCAGCAGTCGGGAGAGGGACCGTAATACGCCCAACCCGTTAAAAAAAAATAAAAAAAATGAAGTGGTCCACGAAAAATTTTGCAATATGATAACCCACTTTTCGGGTGATTTTTATGACTGCTTTTTTTTGTCACCGAAAAGAAAGTCATGCAAAAGAAGTGCACGGGTAAGATATTAGCAACTAGCAATGAAAACACTAATGTTTTTTCTTCTTTCGCCTTTTCTCCACTTCAGGGTCAACCTCGGTGCTCGGGCCGCTGCCCCACTTTGAGATGTGGGCGAAGAGGGCGACAGTCCACTCGCTGACGTGGGCCCTGCTCGCTTCCTGTAAGTAACAGCCACTCTACACGCAGTAAAAACAATGACTGATTTTTATTTTATTTTATTTTATTTTTTGAGAAGCGGGCTTTGCGGAACTCTCCTATTTACAAAAACTCCTCAGATCTTGAGGGCGTCTCTTAAAAAAATTAGGAAACATCCAAGACTTTGTGAGGAAACTTCCTCAAAATCTGAGGACTTTTCCCTTCAAATACGAGAGTACCTCAAAGTTTCCCCCTTTGCCTAAAAAATAACCAGACATCGTTTTTACTGTGCAAAAGTTACCCGAAAGTTTTTTTTTAAAAAAAACACGACAAGCATCTCACAGAGAAACGTGACAAAATGGGAAACGTGTTGACAAACGTAAAAAAAGATTGTTGGGCTGTATCACACTTGAGTTTCCGTGCAGCATTAGGGTATAGCTCTTTTGGCAAAGATCCAACAGATTTGTGTTTGTGATCCGTCGGCCAGTGTGACGGGGGTGTGACATATGTCTGACGGGGGTGAGACTCAGAGTGGCTGCGCCGGTGTGGTCTCTGGGTGGGCGTTGCTGTGTGTTAGGTCACGAACCAGCGTGACGGGGCCATGTCGCATGTCGAGGGGAAAAAGACGAAGCCGTTGTCGTCTTCTCTTTCCAACCGACCTTCCAACTTTCGCGACCTTCTCTAATATTCATGTCACTACTAGATCCCCTTCGTGATGTATGCTGTGCGCTAACAGCCCCCCCCCCCTCCCCTCAGTCTTTTGTTCTCAATCTTTCTATAGCTCGCTCGAACACAAAAAACTTTGACATCTCGCGTGTGGCCTTTCGCGCTAGAAGACAGGCTAATCGTGAAATGAATAGTAGTCGCGTCTGGAAAAAAACGCAAAGAGAAGAAAATGACCGGTAGAAAGAAAGGTCACGGATGCTCTGTTCGCAAGAAATGACACACACACACAAACATTCTCTCTCTCCCTCTCCCTCTCTCTCCCTCTCCCTCTCTCTC